TGGCTCACATACTGGCGAGCCTATGGCTTATCTTCTTGGGTATGCAAAATAGTTAAGGTGAAATCTCACTGCAATCAACAGCATAACTCAGATTCCAAAGGGAGGGAGACGCAGTGATGTTATTGGAATATCAATTTTGATTACTGAACTTCTTCCGATGATGACATTTGGGGTTGGCTAGTGACAGAATTCCTCTAATTTGAAGCAGGAGGAGAAAGTAAAAATGTTTTAAGTTTATACATGCTGGTAACACAGCAACTGCTTTACAGTCTCAGGCCTTGCAAAAATCACGCCAGTTGGGTATTAGTATCCCCATTCTAGAGATTGGAAGGGAGCTGAGGCTCAGACAGCTTAGGCAACTTGCCCAAGGTCACAAAGGTGGCAACTGATGAGCAAAGATTTGAATTCTTGTCTATCTGACTCAAACCTATAATCCCTTCATATTACCATAATGTGACCTTGGGTCATATGAGTGTTGGTAAAGGGCATCCATACAAAACCTTCATATTAGACTCCAGTAAGATTTCTATGTTGTCAATAAGTTGGTAGGAGCAAAGACAGTCATTGAAATAAAGGTTGCTAAAATGTGAATTTTTTTGTTATTATTCAATGTTCTCTGTCAAGCACTTAGAACGTAAATTAGGTTGTGGTTTTTCTGGAATAGGTAGCGGAGATAGATGGGCAAGGTTCATGGCCTTCAAACTCTTTCAACTCAACTAATTTTATGAAAAAGAAAACCATATAAACTACATCGCCACTTGTACTACAGGAATGTGCTCTGAGGAAATTGTACTGGGGTACCCAAAGTTCAAGACAAGGTTCTTAGAAAGGGGTATTGCCAGTAACTAGCTGTGCGATCCTGGGCAAGTCACTGTCTCCATCTGGCCTGGATTTACTCAAGGGAGAAAATAAAGGGGGGTGTTTAATAAACTTTGAAGGTTATAGACACTATACTGATCTGATATAAGCTAATGATCTGTTCTGGTTGTTCATGGATATTTCAAAGACCATTCATGAACCTCCAAAGAATATACTGACCTTTGATTTAAACACCTGGAATGTGTGAAAATGGAATTGTACTCATGTTTCAAAAATCAGCCCTTACCTTTTAGAGATGTGACCTGAAATAGTTGTGGATTAAGTAATTTGATGTCTGGAATTTGCTTAAAATTTATCCAGCGTGTGGAGGAAAGGGTAATAGATGAAACAAGATGATGATTGATAATTGATGAAACCAGGTGATTAGGTACAGGATGATTTTTATACTGTTTTCTCTATTTTTGTGTATGTTGAAATTCTCTACCATAAAACAAATATACAGAATAAAAATTATCCATAATTTAAATAATACTTGGAATGGTGTTTCCAATTCTGATATCCCATAATTCGGCATTCCAAAGACTCTGCAAAAAATGCACTTCTGGAAACATTTTATGTGCTCAGGGCACTGAATCACCATCCTTCTCCTTCTCCTCTTCCTCTTTTTTTTTTTGTTAATCTGTACCAGAGTGTATTTTTTCCATTGATTTTTTAGAGAGAGTGGAAAGAAGATGGAAAGGGAGAGCGAGAGAGAGAAGAGAGGGAGAAAGAAACATTGATTTCCGCACCAGGGCCAGGGATCAAATCAACAGCCCAGATACATGCCCTCGGCTGGGAATGGAACCCAAGACCTTCTGGTGTGTAGGCCGATGCTCTAACCACTGACCCACACCACCCAGGGCATCTTTCCTCTTCTAATGAACCCTCTGGACCAAGGGTTTGTTGTGACCTCATTTTCCAGGTTATTCTGTGATATTCCATTTAATTACTTCCATAAACATATTTTCAAAGAAAGGGCAGCAAAATCGAAAGCAAAGAAGCTGGACAAGAATTGGTCTTGAATCATTTCATGGGATAATGTGGCTCCATTCATTTTCAAATATTCCTTAAAATAAGAAGACTAAAACTATGCTAAGGGACTTTTAGTGGCACATAAAATATGTGGTTAGGATGTTAGGTGAAAGGGGGGATGTTAGGTGAAATGGTTAAGAATTCACACTCCAGACCAATGCCACCTGGGTTCCTGTCCTTGCTGTGTCACTCAACTATGTGCCCTTGGGTAAGCTGCCTTTTGAGGTTTCACTTCCTTACCCATGGAACAGAAATACTAGAGCAGTTACCCTCACAAGAGTAATCCTGAAGGCTCAAGTTGTGCCTGCTGTGCAGCAAGCATTCAACAGATGCTCACCATTGTCCTCTCAACTGTGCAAATATACAAGAGATGAAAAAAGGCATAAGATAGTCCTGGCCAGTGTGGCTCAGTGGTAGAGTGTTGGCCTGTGAACCAATGAGTCGTAGGTTTGATTCTTGTCTAGGGCACGTACCTTGGCTGTGGTGCAGGAGGCAACCAGTCAATGTGTCTCTCTCACATCCATGTTTCTCTCTCTCCCTTCCTCTCCTCTCTCCCTCCACTCTATCTGAAGATAAATAGAAAAAAAAAAATATCCTCAGGTGAGGATTAAAAAAAAAAATCATAAGATATAGGTCAAATATTATCAGTAATTGCCTGTGAATTGTGACCAAATGGGCGATCTCTTTCTTTTCTTTATTTCTGTTTGGACTTTTCAGATTTCTACAAAAAGTCTTTGTTACTCTTGTAAGCAGAGAAAAAGAGTTTTATTAAAAAGTTATTTTAAAAACGTTTCTTGAGAAAGTTTAATGCCCATGCTTGTCCCCCTCGGTGTTCTGACAAACAGACCACTTCAGAGGAGTAAGATGCGTGATTACTAATGCCTGGCTCACCCCCCCAGGCTCTCTGTGGGAAGAGTCCTGTAAATGCCACTGAGCCTTCAAATGTCCTGGTGCAGAATGGATAGAGCCGTCCTCTGCCCCCGTTTCTTGCCATCCTGCCTCCTCACCACACATTCCCTCACACCAGAAGTTAGCCTTTTGGAGGCACATGGATTCTATGCCAAGAAAAGTTCATTCAGGCACACTACTTTGTATTCAGTTTCGGGGTTCATGTCACCCCCACCCAAGGTATAGCCCTTCTCCACTGATGAAGAGCACCTAAGCCACGACAGCAACATTCGGGAATGCATAAACACACTTCAGGCGTGTTTGAGAAAAGTTGACATGCACAAATCCAAAACCATAAGCCAGATTAATTGGTGGATAATTACGGGTATTACATAGGTAGTTTTGCTTTGCCAAAGAATTTACATTAGGATATCTATAAATAGCAAGCCCATGTGGTGAGCTTGAACCATGCTGCTGTATATCCAAAAGCTAAGCCCTTTCCAGAACATACCTACTGCAGAGCAACAGGCCCAATTCAAAAAGTTTAATGCCACCCGGCCTGGGGGCTAACTTGGTTGGAGCATGGTCCCATGGACCAAAAGGTTGTAGGTTCAATTCCCAGTCAGGGCACATACCTAGGTTGGTTGTTTGATTCCCAGTCTGGGCACCTACGGGAGGCAACTGATTGATGTTTCTCTCTTCTTTTGATGTTTCTCTCTCTGTCTTCCTTCCTCTCTCTCTAAAAATCAATAAAAGCATATCCTCAGGTGAGGATTAGAAAAAAAGTTTAATGCCAGCTTTGCTCTTAAGTTTGGCTGCATCCATTTAGAGTATTCTAGATCACCTCTGAAATGGCCACTACGCCACATCACTTAGGTGACTGATGGTCAAGGACAGACAATGAGACACCCAGAAACTTCTGGTCGGAGGAGAGGGGGCTCCTGTGTGGGGGTTGTGAGGCTGCTTTGGAGCGGCTCATTTGCGGTGAGAGAGATGCCATCTCCTTTTCTCAGGTAGGAATATTCCAGGCTGGACCTTAGGTCATCTCAGGTGTTTGTAACCTTACAATGACTGGAAAGTGAGGCTTTCGCTCCTATTTCCAACTGAGTTTTAGAAAAGTCGACACACATGCACCAGGTCAGACATATATCAGAAAAAATTACATTGAAATAAAAATAACACAAAACACTCTGTCTTGGATTACCATCTAACTTCTGGAGGCTGGGCTATGGACAGTACCCAGTGTCACTTAAACCAAGGGCCACTTAGCTGTGATTTTGCTCCTGTTGATGCATCATTGGGTTCCAGGGGTGTGCCCCATCTGACCTGCCCTTCAAACTGGCACCCCTCTTTCCTTCACTCTTACATAGCGCCCCCCTCCCCCAAACTGTCGGGGAGAACTCACTGGTTGATTTGTATAAAGATCCAGGAACTGTGCACTTTTAAAAAAACCATGTAACTACCTGCTCCATCTTACAATGTTCACTCCAAATGGCACCCCACTGCCCGCGGTGGCAACTGGCTTGATCCTCTTCTAAGATTTCCAAACCTGTGCCCGGCCCCACGAGCATCTCAGAGCGGCAGTGACAGCAGAGGTGCGGCGGGGTCGCTTTTGTGGCCGTGTGAGAGTAACTTTCACAGAAGCAGATGAAAGTTCCTGGAGTATTAACTTCCAGCAGAGGAGCACCCACGTCCCGAGGCCGCGCGGCCCCTCGCCTAGCTTTGCGGAGATAAGCGGCAGGGCATCTGGAGTGAGGGCTGCGCCCCGGAAAGCGAAGGGTCTCTGAGACCCTTGGGAAACACACACCCTTTGCCGGCCCACAAATGCCCTAGCTTTCCTGGAGGAGTACCCCTGGCTCTCTGTCCCTGCGCCTTCAGAAGCCGCCCGATACCTACACACATTTGGCGTTTGGGGCACAAATAAGCAAAGAACCACCAAGCCGCCGCCACCACCCAGGAAAGCGACCTCTGAACCGGAGCCCAGGTGCACTGCGTGCTCGCGAGGTGGAGCCCAGCGAAGCCCCGTGTGTGGAGCGAGGAGGCTGGGTCCCCAGAACGTGGTCAAGCCGGGCATTCGAGTCCGAAGGGAGGAACAGTCCTTGGACCCCGATCCACTCGGGGGCAGGTCCCAGCCTCCGAGCCAGCGCCCGTTCAGAGGAACAAAGGTGGACAGAGAGGGAGGAAGGGGAGTTTGGTGTTCTCTTGGGGCAGTGTGCGCGTACCTTGGACTCCTGGCTGCCGGTGGATGCTGGGGAGGGCGGCTGCTGGGCGCTCGCCGCCTCCCTGGGCAGCCCGTCCACGCCGTCCTCGCGGGCGCCGCTCGGAGGGATCATCGTGGCGGCGCGGGAACGGTGTTGGCTCCCGGAGGAACAGCCAGGCTCGCTTCCTCCGGAGCGCCGCGCGCCGGGTCGCTCAGCTCCGGGTCCCGGGGACTCCCATCCTCCGCGAGGCGCCGAGGCGCCCTCCACTGGCCTCGTCCCCACCCCGGCCCTGCCCACGTCCCCCGCGCTCCCGCCGGCGGAGGAGAGCGCGCCCCGCCGCGCCCGCCACCACCGCGCTGGCGACGGAGCAGTCGTGACTGCCATCGGCCGCGGGTGAGCGGGCTCAGGCTGGCTCGCTGGTCCCGGAGAAGCGGGAGGCGGGGAGGCAGCTCCGGGCGGGGCTGCGTGGCCAACGCCGGGCAGCAGGGCAGGCAGGGGCCGCCGGGTGAGAACCTGTGCTGGGGGCTGGGCGCGCACCCACGGGTCGGGATGACTCTTTAGCAGGAGTAGGGAAAATTCAGACCAAACCCCGAATGAATAGAAAACCCGTGAATGATTCAACCCAGAGGAACCACCTGCAACAACTCCCTCATTCCTCACCCGAAGAAAGACTCAAAGGGAGGCAGTGACTTAGCCAAGTTATTTATAGGGTTCAGTGACGGAGATCAGGAACCAAAGCTGGGGTTCCCCGGCTTGAGAGCGCTCTCTTTCCCCGGTTCAGCTGTGGACTGAAGCAGAGAGAGAGTGCCCTGCGCGCATGTCCTCACTTGGCTGTGCATTTCGGCTTACTGAAGCCTCCCAGTCTAGCGGGCTAGGTACCCCCACTTCCATTTTATAAATGAGGCAACTGAGGTTTTAGGCAGGCTGAGTAATTTGCTTTAAGTCACTGAACTATAAATGGTGGAGCTGAAATTGGAACCCATTTTGGCTTCAAAATCCATGCTTTTTGGACTGTGGAGTTTCAAATCTCGCCAGACCTCCATGGAGCAAGTGGGTGTTGCAGTGTAGCAGTGAGTTCAGGGCTGTTCACGGACAGGCAACCCATTCTGGCTTAATAGATCTTTTGGAAATATAGACATGGACCCATTGGATCAAGGGGCAGAAGGATGCAGTATTTTTTTAATTTTTATTTTTAAAATCCTCACCTGTTTTCTATGTATCTTCAGATAGAGTGGGAGGGAGGGAGAGAGAGAGAGAGAAACACCCATGTGAGAGAGACACATTCACTGATTGCCTCCTGCACAATCCCAACCAGGGCTGGGGACAAACCACAACCGAGATACGTGCCCTTGACCATAATTGAACCGGCGACTCTTTGGTCCCTGGGCTGACACTCTAAACCGCTGAGCCAAACCGGCCAGAGCAGGATTCGATATTTTTTGAAGATACAACCTCTACATAGGAAAAGGAAATACATCTGGATATTGAAAATACTTTTATTTTATGAGTACAAAACTCTCTCTTTAGTTTTCTGACAGAACATTGTGAACTTAAGTTCAGGTTTTCTTTATTAACAGTAAATGTATGCAAGGCCAGCCTCATGGGTCTGCAGCCTGTGACCTGATACAGGGCCCTACAGGTGGTTTAATGCTCTTCTGTTGCTGTCTTGACACTTTTAAACATTTTTGATCACGGGGTCCTGCATTTTTATTTTGCACTGGACCCTGTGAATTCTGTGTTTGGTCCTGTATGTTTGTTTTAGCTCATGTCCTTTGAAAGGAACCCATTACTTTTTCTACCTGTTGAAAACTCCTTTTCTGAGTGACAGCCTCTTATTCAACATTTCGCTCTCAGAGGGCACTAAATAGTGTAGAGGCCTGCAGACTCTCATTTGACCGGGCTGGGATGGCTAATCCAATAGCCTTTTCCCTCTTCAAAACATGATTCCTGTTTGCTCCACAGAGACAGAATTCTAACAGCCGAAGTCACAACAGCAGCAAACAGAGCACGCAATGACAGGAGCAGCAGCTTCTACACGTCTTTATGAAGCATCTCTTCTGTACTGGGCATGGTGCTAGAAGCTAATGATCCAACAGAGGGAAAACACAGATTAAGTCTGTTCTCTGGGAATTTAGAGCCTGGTGAGAGAGACAGCGATTAATTAAATCACACGTGCACAGGCGCGCACACGCACACACATGTTTCTCATGAACTGTGATAAGGAAAAGTACAGGGCTCAAATGAGTCTGCACAGATGTGAAGCCTGATCTAATGTGAGGCCAGAGAAGGGTTTTCTGAGAAAGTGAAACCCCCAGGGTCTCTGGGTAATTGCAGTCTCGGTGGGCAAGCTCACTGTAGTTTACAACAAGGAATGTTTCATCCTTGGATTTTTACTTTTAAAAAAATTCATACTCGAAGATATTTTTTCCATTGATTTTCAGAGGGGGGGGGGATGGAAAGAGACAGAGAGAGAGAAACAGAGAAACATCTATGTGAGAGAGACACGTGGATTGGTTGGCTCCCACATGACCTCTATTGGGGCCGGGGATTAAACCTGCAACCCATGTATGTGCCCTTGACTGGGAATTAAACCTGTGACCTTTCGTTCCATGAGCCAATGCTCTAACTACTGAGCCAAACCAGCCTGGACTCTAGCTAACATTTCTAATTCTTTGAAACACATCTCCAAACATTTATTACTCTTGAAATCTCCTTCCTTGACCCCATTAGTCTGATTTAAATTCCCAAACCATGTTCTCATGGCAACCTCTCCTAAGTAATCAATGGTGAGGCTGCCTGTCCTTCCTCTGGGCTATGAGCTGCACTAGGGCAGGGTGCAGGCCGTGCTCATCTTGTTTTCTCAGCTCCTGGACCATGTTTGTTAGCTCAATGCTGAAAGGAGACTGCCCTTCCGCCCCCCAAGACTTCACGTAACCTTGACGTGACATCTTCCAATTGCCCTCCAAGCACGAAATGGAGAAAGACAACGGATGTTTCTAGAAAGCAGTGGGATTTAAAATTACACAAGCTCCTTGATTGTAAGGATTTTGTCTTTATTGGACTGAGAGGATCTTAAACTGAAAGTCACGGCCGTCTGTGAATGTGGGTTCATTCGTTTGCATGCAGGTAAAAGGTCTGCGATAAGGACATTAGGTTTACAGCTCATCTCTGGGAGGAGGCGTGGAAGTGGACAGGATGCTGCTTTGTCTGAGCCTGTGGACGGAGGGCTGCTGGCAGAAATGGATGGCACTCTATTTCAGTAGGATGCCTCGAGGCTTGGGTCACACGCACTGCTTCTTTGGGACTAGATGGCCATGCTCATTCTAACGCCTGGAGGGATGCGAGTCCTCCCACGTTGTCATGAAAGCCAGCCCTGACCTGGTACTGCGGGGACATTGATATATTGATAGTGATACTCAGATAGTGGAGAGGACTGGCGTTCTTCATGTACTGGAGGTGAGTGGATGGTAGACCAGCAAACTGGGGAGGGGACACCTGATAAAGCACGGACATCCCTGAGCAGAAGTGTCCTTTTTCGTGGTCCCCCGTGAGGTAGCCTCTCAGGACTCCCAGTTGTGCTGGGGGTAAGACCTCAGAAAAGACGGGAGGTCCTACCTTAGCAGCTGCAGTGACATGTGAGCTATAACGGTCAAGATGACCTCATTTGTAAGCTGGTGAAGCCGGGAGAAATTCAAGTTGCAAATAATTATCCTAAGTCTCGAGTTTGTATCAGGACCCTGTGATTTTTGTAGCTTCCTTTCATGGTCCATTTCACTCTGGTTGCTGGTTAAATATCAAGCCAGCAGAAGTGTGAGGCATGCAGGAATTTATCTTCACAAACTTGAACTGGAAGCTGCCACTCCTGGTTCATTGACTCATTCATTAATTTGCAAAAAGGGCAAAGCCTTCCTCCTGATCGCATTCAACTGCTATTCGCAGTCAGACTGCTCAACAGAAGAGTGGTTGGCGCTTTCAACTTTCTCCCATGGCTTTGCTCCAGATCTGGATTAAAGACGGGACTTTCCGTCTGCGGACTTGGGCTTCTTCCGGAGCCATTTGGTTAAAAAGGTATTATCAGGACTGCTTAACTCAAACAGCCATACGCATGAAAGGTACAGAAAGAACACCAAGGAAATGGAAGACAAAAAAATAATCAAAATGTTCCAGGGGATGGAGCATTGGCAAGAGTCAAGGAAGGAGGGTCTCAGTAACGGAATGATTCTCAATGGCTGGCGCATCAGTCATCATGGTAACGAGATATTTGAGAAGGGTATAGGGTTTGGCAATTAGATTGTTGATAATAATAAGAGCTTGCATGGCCGGTTTCTTTTCTTTGTAACTTTTTCTGCTATGTAGGCAATGCTTGAACAAGTACGAAAGAGGACAAGGCTGAGCTGGAGACATTCTTTGAGTAATAGTTTTTTATTTTTTAAATCTTTACCCAAGGACACTTTTTCATTTTTTATTCAGATAGAGCAGGAGGGAGAGAAAGAAACATTGATGTGAAAGGTACACATAGAGTGGCTGCGACCTGCACCACCCAACCAGGGCCGGGGACAAACTGAAACTGAGGTACTTGCCCTTAGCGGGAACCGAACCCGGGTCTCAACTGAACCCGGGTCTCAACCGAACCCGGGTCTCTCTGGACCGCAGGCCAACGCTCTAACCTCTGAGCCACACTGGCCAGGGCTCTTTGAGTAATAGTTTCAAGCACTTTCACAAGTGGCCTCTGGGGAAAGCAGAATCTCCGTTAGCCTGGGAAGCCCGTTTTGATTAGTAACGGAGGGAGTTAAAAAAGCCTCATGAAGATTTCTGAAGGTTTGCATGGGTCACAGATTGAGGAGGGGCCAGCATGCAGAGTTCTGACAGACACACAGACTCTTCCTGCCTGGCAGCCAGACACAGAGAACCTCAGTTCTCTGAGAGGCAGGAACCCACTCTGTATATAGGGCCCTGGAATTCAAACTCACGTGTCACCTGCCCATTTACAGTCTCCAAGGGATCATGAATATTCAATTTGTTCACCATTATGTATTTTTTTTTGTTCTTTTTCTTTTTTGTTAATCCTCACACGAGAACATTTTTTTCTTTGATTTTTAGAGAGTGGAAGGGAAGGAGGGAGGGGGGAAAGAGAGAGAGAAACATCCATGTGAGAGAGACACATCGATTGGTTGCCTCCCATACAAGCCCCGACCGTTTGAACCTGCAACCCAGGTACTTGCCCTTGATCAGGAATCGAACCCATGACCCCTTGGTGCATGGGCTGATG